TTCCTACTTCATATTGTCAATTATCTCATTAGGATCTTAGGTACTATTATAGTTTTTCACACCAGTAAAAAAGCAAACTATAAATGCTATTTTGGGCTAATTAGTGCCTTAAAAATTATGAGTCAAGACAGATAATTTACTTCTAAATGAATTTTACATAAAGTTGTCATATCAGTTTCATAAAGGAAAACTGAACTATAAAAAACATTTATGTACAATATTTTGATACAGTTTTTTTCTTATTTTAACCTTTGAAAATAATGTAGTAAAAATAGTGTAACAGTAAGTTTTCCTAGTGTGATTCTGTGAGGATGTAGGGGTAAGATGTCATCATATTGTCTTAACAGTCATCTACAGCGTTACAGAACTATAGGAATTAATACCCAAAGTAGAGGTCCAGTGTCCTAGCCTAGCAGAAAAGAATCTTCTTTGTGATTTAAAAATGCATTTTCCTGAACCCCAAATTAAACATATCAATGTAGTGAAAAACACCCATATCAATATTGTGGGGTCATTTTTGTTGAAATAAAGTATACTTACAGTAATACTGTTGTTACTGGAAAGTTCTAAGAGTATTGTTTGACACACTAATGCACGTGTTAATCAAGCTCTGTAGGTGCTTCATTTAGCCCCTACCTTTGATGACCATTGACTACATCAGAGATTGGCAGACTTTATTTTGCATCAAAGTCACCAGGGGGACTTGATAAAATGCCTTGGTGTTCTGCACTCTACTGCATCGCCAAAGCTTCTGATTTAGCTTATCTGATGAGGGCCTGGAGTTTGCATTTCTGCTAAGTTCGCGGGAGATGCTGATGTTAGGAGTAGCCCTAAGAACCACTGGAAGTTTTACACAGTGTCTTTACACTTAGATACATCCCCAGCTCTTTTATGTATTTATTTTCATTTTTCGAGTCAGGTTTTGATAAGTCACTAAGTCCTAGGCTGGGCTGAAACTTGAGATCCTCATGATTCAGCCTCCCAGATCACTGAGATTACACACTACCACTACTAGCATAGAGTGGTGGATTTCAATGCTTTTCCAGCATATCAAACCACCTTGAAAATTTTACAAATAAAAAACTTTATGCATGACCTAGAAAACTACCTCTCAGAGATACTGAACTAAAGTGATGACCTTAAATGAGCCATAGTGGAATAAAGACACAGTTTTTGAAGAATGATCTAGGTGATTTTCATATGCAGCCAAAGAACACAGCCATAATGGAAAGATGGAAAGAGTGGCTATGATATC